CTCGAACTATAGGCACATGTCATTTGTACCCAGCTTATTTCAGAGATTTTTGAGAGGTAGATTTGATAAGACTGGGGGACCTTGGATGTGAGCTAGTGATGGAGAGGGACTGTTTGAAAATGATACTCAGATTTGGTTTGAACAGCTGGAAATAAAATTTTGGTTTGAATCAATTTACTAACAGGTGTGAAGGTGGCTTCTAGGCTTTGATGAAGCTCACCCTCTTCAGAGACTGTATTTAGCCATCATCATGGGTGGCCCAGCTTTACTGAGTACCCTGTTCTCCCAAGTTAGAGCAGACTACTTTTCTTTCTGATTGAAGCACCAGGGCCCCCTGGTGGACAGCTCCCTGGGTCCTGTTTCTTATCTGGAGGACTCTTGATTTTGTCTGGTTGAGGGTTTTTTCCTTAGTTCATTTGCAGAGCAGAGATGCTTGATTCTTTTCTCTGTCTGATAAATCATTAAACCTTCCCATTTCAGAGTTATCAGTTTACCCCCATTTGTGACCTCCTCATGTTCAATAAGAGAACAATTACCCTATTATAATCATTCTCATGCCCTAGTACTCTAAACCAGAAGGGTACTCAATCCTTATTTTTAACAGATTTATCCCCTTCTTCCATCTGGCATCATATTAATGTTAATTCTTTGTTTCAGAGCCATCATCAACCACTTTAACCCCAAAATTGAGTCCTACGCTGCTGTGAATCACATATCCCAGCTGTCAGAGGAGCAGGTAAGCCACTACTCTCCCCAGACCTAGGTGGTGGCTAGGACCAAGCAGTTGCCTTCTCTTTGGTGGCAGGGGGATTCTGTAACTGAGCTTTTAGCAGGGGTGGCAAGAGCTAGGCTGCTGAGAGGAATTAGTACAGGATTGGTTGATAGTACTTTTTATAGAGAGTGATGCCTTCTGCATTAGTACTATCTGAAGGGTTTAATTATATAGAAGATATATAGGTGAAAATCTGTGAATTATTGTTTTAGAGTGAACAATAAAGCATTTCTTTTTTAAAATTTTAGAGAATCATTTTGATCTTTGAAAATAAGAAATGAGAACTTAAAAATGGATGAAACTGCCAATTAGAAAAACCCTGAGTTCGGCTTAATTTGAAGCTGTTTGGCTCATTAAAACTTTGAGCCCTCATTGGGACAAATTTTCCTTAGTAATTGAGTTCCCTTTGCCTTGAAAAGTTATTTCTGAGGAGGTTTTTCTATAATATGGACTGAGTTGGAGATGCAGATAGCCTTGTGTGTTTGTTTTCCTTGAATCTGGCCTGATTTCCCCTTCTCCCAAAGTGTCTGCACTCAGCTCTGCGTTATATAAAAGTACAGATGGGGTGTTAGCATGGCATGGGATTGAACTTGATGTTTCAGAATGAGACTCATGAGTCCTGCTTTTAAAAGCACAAAATAAGACATCCTATTCACTTGATTGCTTTCCTTTCTACCCTATTCCCACATTGGAGGGGCCAGGGTATAGACTCCAAGCCAATAAGAAGACATGCATGCCCTCTTTTACCAATGCATCATTGCAACTGTTCTTTGAGCTTCTTGCTGACAGAGCTAGCCAGCCAGCCAGCTATGATATGACCATGTGTTCCAATGTTCCCAAAAGCTATTCAGTTTTCCCAGTGAGACACCAAGCAAGCCTTTTTCCTAACAGACAAGCTTCTCAGTGTTCCCACCCGTGGCTCTTTTCCTCAGCCAGATGGTTAGGACTCTATTAATCTATCAGTTGTTCCCTTTGACATATTTGTTCTCTTTCATGAGGCCAGCTGTGAGAATCCATCCTCACATTTAAAACTGCTTTTATAAATGGCTTTCATTTTCTTTTTCCTCTCTGCCTATGGAGCAGTTCTGAGTCCTGTTCTTTGATGCTGGTGCTGTCTGTGAGGTGCTTTGTGATGCTACCTTTTTCCTGTTCAACCAGTTCAGATCAATTTTACTGTATCATTTTTATGCAGAAGAACTCAACATCTTGAGTTTTGTATAGTGAGAGAAGGGGTGTCTTTCCTACTGCAGTGAGCTCCCATTAGTCTAAAGGCTTTTTTTTTTTTTAAGGAAAAAAAGGAAGACACACATTTGCGCTGTCAGCCACGTGCAGTATTCATCCCCCAGCAGCTTGGGAAGGTCAGGCTGAAATCTTTCTCCAACAGTAGCATCCATAGACCAATAATAAAAATCCTTCCTGGTGCATGAGGCAATCTATAAAAGGATGATTAGCAAGCACGTGTCCCCAGCCTCCTTCAACTTCTTTCAAAGTTAAATGAAGTGATGAAAGTGCCTATCAAAAAAAGTCCACAAGCCAGAGATAAGGTGATTTCTTTGGAGAGAGAGAGAGAGTACCTGGAAGAGAATGGGGAAGGCATAGCAATTCACGCAGATTTATTTACTTGATCAATAAATAATTATATTTCTACTGTAACAGAAGATGTGCTGCTAGGTAGTGGGGATCAGTGGTGAATAATCTAAGTGTAGTCCTTGCTCTCAGAGAGTTTTTGTATACTCATTACTTCTCTTAATCCTTTTCACATGAGGGCCTTGTGGAGGGTGATACTATTCTGGGACCCTTTTAAAAACTGCCCTCAAAATAATTGTTGCCTCTCTTCCTTAACTAACTTTGAAGGGTGCTAAATGACAGCATTATGGTGCACTTGGTTTTATTCTCAGTGCTATCAGAGGTATTTGACTGCCTTGTTAATCTCCAGCATGTGTTGGAGCACTTTTCTCCCTTCACTTATGAATGTTAATGTCAATTAATGTTAAGAGTATTCACAGCTTCCCAAAGAGCTAGCTTTGGGATGCAGTAGGGCCCTGCAGTTGTTAGTAGTAGACTGAGTAGAAAAAAAAAAAAATTAGGAACTTAATCCTTAGTAGATTCTACAGTACTCCTAAAATAAAACCTAAAAACCATGGATAGGTGTTAACTAGAATTTATAGCACTTAGTAAGTTAGCAGACAAGACAGGGCTCTTTGGTAGATCTGCTTGCCCAGCCTTCAATTTTCTTCTGGCAAGGATTTGTGAATTCTTGAATTCTGACAACCCCCAGATACATTCTAGCCTCTGTTTGAGACATTTCAAGGTGATGCATGTAAATCCATTATTGCATATTAAACAAAGCCCAGCCTCTCACACTGGGGTTTCTTTTCAGAGATCCAGAAGGTAGATCACATTTTTCTGTTAACTCTCACTGGCTTCATGGAGGGCAAAGGTTTTTAATCAGTTAATGCCTTCAGTGTGACTGAATAGGCATGCATTTTCTGGCGTAATAAACTGCATGCATTTTTATAGTGTCTATGCAGGTGTTGTATGTGTCTGGGGTTAATTGTGAAGCTTGTTCACTTTGACCTCTTTTTGTGTCTGTGATAGAATATACACAACATAAAATTTACATTTTAACCATTTTAAGTGTATAGTTTGGTGGCATTAAAATACATTTACAATGTTGTACAACCATCACCACTGTCCATCTCATCATTCCATACTGAAATTCTTTATCCGTTAAACCAGCGGTCCCCAACCTTTTTGGCAGCCAGGGACCAGTTTCATGGAAGACAGTTTTTCCATGGACTAGGGGGGTGGGGGGGTGGGGTGTCGTGGGTTGGGGCAGGTGGTGCGGAGCTCAGGCAGTGATTCAAGACCCATTTCCTAATAGGCCATGGGCTGGTACTGGCTGGGGCCTGGGAGTTGGGGACTGCAACATTAAACCATAACTCCCCATTCCCTCTCCCTCTAACCCTTGGTAACCACTGTTCTACTCCCTGTGTCTATGAATTTGACTATTCTAGGTACCTTAGTGGAATCATATAGTATTTGAACTTTCATAACTGGCTTATTTCATTTAGCATAATGTATTCAAGTTTCATCCATGTCGTAGCATGTATCAGAATTTTTTTTTTTTTTTTTTTTGAGACAGAGTCTCACTCTGTTGTCCGGGCTAGAGTGCCATGGCATCAGCCTAGCTCACAGCAACCTCAAACTCCTGGGCTCAAGCGATCCTCCTCCCTCAGCCTCCCGAGTAGGTGGGACTACAGGCATGCACCACCATGCCCGGCTAATTTTTTCTATATATTTTTAGTTATCCAGCTAATTTCTTTCTATTTTTTTAGTAGAGACGGTGTCTTGCTCTTGTTCAGGCTGGTCTCGAACTCCTGAGCTCAAATGATCCGCCCGCCTCGGCCTCCCAGAGTGCTAGGATTACAGGCGTGAGCCACCGCGCCTGGCCAGAATTTTTAAGTTTTTTTAAGACTGAATAATATTCCTTTGTATGTATATACCACATTTTGTTTATCCATTGATCTGTCTATGGACATTTGGATTGTTTCCACCTTTCGGATATTGTGAATAATGTTGCTATGAACATTGGTGTACAAATATATGTTGGAGTCCCTGCTTCCAGTTCTTTTGTGTATATACCCAGAAGGGGAATTGCTGAATCATAATGATAATTCTATGTTTAATATTTTGAGGAACTCCAGACTATTTTCTCAAAGTGGCTGCACCATTTTACATCCAGTTTCTCCACATGCTTACCAACATTTGGTGTTTTCTGTTTTGTTTTGGTTGTTTATAATAGACATCCTAATGGGTGTGAAGTGGTATTTCATTGTGTTTTTTATTTGCATTTCCCTAATAATATGTTGAACATCTTTTAGTGTGTTTATTGGCCATTTGTGTATCTTCTTTGGAGAAATGCCTATTCAAGTCCTTTACCCATTTTTAAATTGGGTGGTTTGTTTTTTTGTTATTGAGTTTTAGGAATTCTTTATATATTCTGGATATTAATTCCTCATTAGATATATGATTTGCAAATATTTTTCTCATTCTGTGGGTTGTCTTCTTACTCTGTTGATAGTGTCCTTTATTCACAAGATTTTTAAAATTTTAATGAAGTACAATTTGTCTATTTTTGTTATTGCCAAGAAATACAAATGTCATGAAACAAAATCCAATGTCAGGAAGCTTTTCCTCTATGTTTCCTCTAAGAGTTAAGTTTTAGCTCTTATGTTTAGATCTTTAGTCCATTTTGAGTTAAATTTTATAACATGTCATAATTATATGACATTAGGTAAGGACATTTTGACTTCTTTTTGTATTTGACATATCTTTATAGATTATGGAGAAGATACAACTTGCTTTTCTAAGAACTATGAAACTTCTCCCAGTTTATTCCCTATTGAGTTTGGTTTGTTTGTAGTACATCTTTTAAAATTGTCTTTCAGGGCCCTTGCCCACCCTCAACTGAGATTTAGCTCCTTTCTCTCTCCATGTGGCTTGTTGATAAGCATCCATCCCTACCTAGTAAAATCATTTTATATGTTCAGGCAAACTTGATCATCAAGAAATATGGATTCCCAAAAAAATGAAGCTAAGAAGTCAGAAGATTTAGAATGCATAGCAGCCTAAGTGGTTTCTCACTTAAGGAACTTTGAGTGTACTTTGATTCCTTCCATTCCTAGGGCTACTTTTTCTGTTTCCAGTTGTGTTCATATCCTCTTGCTCTCTCCTTTTTAAATGGGGACCACAAGTAGTGCAACCTCGGCACATCAATCTCCCTTGTAAGCCTTCCCAACTTCTGGTCTTCAGCCCCTCCCTCACCAGTGGCCTGCGCCCTGATTTTCATTCCCCTAGGAGGATAGTTGTCACACAACCTATATTTCATAGATAAATCCCAATGACCATTTTGTCTGTACTAAATAAATGTGTATGGTAGCTATTTAGGAAAAACTCTTGAC